ATGGACTCTGAGAAACAAACTGAGGGTTCTAGAGGGGGGGGGGGGGGGGATGGGATAGCCTGGTGATGGGTATTAAAGAAGGCACGTATTGAATGGAGCACTGGGTGTTATACACAAACAATGAATTATGGAACACTACATCAAAAACTGATGATGTAATGTATGGTGATTGACATAACATAATAAAAGAAAATTTAATAAATACATAAATAAATAAATTAAAAAAAAAGGAAAAAAAAAAAGAAAATATTGCCCTGTACCACAGTTGGAAGATCTAAAATATTTAACATTTTAACTGGTTTGTGGCAATGCCAAAAATATTTTCAATATAAATGAATATACATTCAAAAACTAAAACTTACTTTCTGTGCTTTCACATAGATATGTGAAATTAAGTCTCTGTGGTCTTAAGAAGCAAGTTATCATTGTAATAATTTAACTCATTAGGTTAATATCTAATGGGTTTTTAAGAATGAACATGGGGACGCCTGGGTGGCTCAGCCGTTAAGCGTCTGCCTTCGGCTCAGGTCATGATCCCAGGTTCCTGGGATCAAGTTCCACATCGGGCTCCCTGCTCCACAGGAAGCCTGTTTCTCCCTCTCCCACTCCCCCTTGCTTGTGTTCCCTCTCTCGCTGTGTCTCTCTCTGTCAAATAAATAAATAATCTTAAAAAAAAAAAAAAAAGAGTGAACATGGTAAAGAATTTTATGTAGGAAAGAATTAAAATATTAATGGTGATAAGATCAAATGTGACTTCAAAATTCTTCCTCTTATATATAATTAAACATAATATACATCTGAAGGAAATCTTTGAGTATGAATAAGAGCAATTCTATTATTTTTAAGTTTAAATAGAAGCTAACTCAAAACTCTCAAATAAAAAAAAAACCTCTGAAATAGATGAATGGATGAATACAAAATAAGCACAAAACCTGAACAAAATTACTTGCAATTAAAACAGATTAAAATTACTTCATCTATATTTTATAAACTGATTATTTTTTTTAAGATTTTATTTATGTATTTGACAGAGAGAGTGAGAGAGATCATGAGCGGGGGTGGCGGGGAAAAGCAGGCTCCCCGCTGAGCAGGAAGCCCGATGCGGGGCTTGACCTCAGGACCCTGAGATCATGACCTGAGCTGAAGGCAGACGTTTAATTAACTGAGCCACCCAGGCGCCCCTATAAACTGATTCTAAGAATATATGACTATATACCATGTTGTTGAAGAGGCAGTATGTTTTTTATAGAATATCAGTATTACATTCTCATGAACAACAGGTACAGGAGAAAAGAGTGGAAGAACTATCAACTTTATTGTCTTATAAATATGATTAAATTACATTCTTTGAAGGAATAATTTGTAGTTGAATAACTATGTATAGTATTAAGAGTCAGATTAATTTGATAAAATACTTGTTCTGGGTTTCTTTTTATATTTAAGAATATTAAACACATTTATTATGTTTTAGAACTAAAATATCATCCAAGATACTTTTCTGAAAGACTATAAGGCAAAACAAAGATAGAGATGTGTCAATGAAGTGGCATCAAGCATGTGATGTCTAATGCCAGTGAATGGTACCAAATTTTGAGAATTACTTACCACATTTTGGTTAATAAGGTGTGCCACAAATTTTGAAGCAGTAAGACAGAGTTGCTGAAAAGTGAAGGTAGAGAAAATTTTAATCTATAAACTAAAACCATTTTTATTTAACTACTAAATCTATAGTTTATTTACACATTCTATTTAAAATATGTAGCACATAAGGATAATTTTTATAATATAAGAAAGTTACAAGATAAAAACTATTACATGCGAAATAGTGTCATTTCTGGTTAAATTATTATAATTCTACAGTTATAGCCATCAGTTTTGTAGCTCATCACTAGTGGCCAGAGGTATTTAATGGAACAAAAAAATGTTCTCATGAAATGCAGTTTTTAAAAAGAATTCCTTTGTGGCAATCAACATTGCTTATCACTGTTGAAACTAGATTATTAGTCTGTCCCTATGTGGCAGTCGACTTATAAGCCCATCATATATACCTTATCATTTCTTCGATAGCCTTTTCGGAAATTAAGAATTAGCCTCTTGAGGATTAATTCTCCGATCTGTGGAAATTTTGAGTTGATAATTGCCACTAACGCTGCATAAACATGGGTGAAGATTGGAGAAGCACTTTGCGCTTGCAAAACAGATCTGGACAGCAGGCCTCTGTTTAAAAAAGAAAAAAAAGTCAACAAGGTTCCACTTCTAACTCATTTTGAAATGAGCACGGTTCTATATGTATTTGATAAGGGGAGAGATGCAAAGTTATGTCCAGCAATTAATGACAAATAATTATTGGACTGCCAAAAGGCAGTAAAACAATATCTTAATAGTTATCAGGTTGAACTTTGACAACTGAATCAACAGAGTAGAAAATGAGAAAAGAAAACCCAGCCTATAAATTGTGAGATCATAAGCAACCCATATAGCCTCTGGTGCTTTCTGACTAAAATGGGAGAGCTCTACCTACCTACTTTTGAGGACAGAAGCTGCCTCTTGGTCAACTTTCTATATCCCCACAACATGTTACATCTTACTTTATATGCCCCCTCACCAACGTTTTGGAGATGATAAATCAGGGTCATGTGAAATGACACAGGAAAACATCCCTTAAATTTCAAAATAAAAAAAAAGAATATAAAATATTTCTATTTCCTGATCCTTTTTTAAATCACAACCAATTAAAAGTACAAAAAAAATGATTGTCATTCTTTTCTGCTTTTCTAAGATTTATCACTGATCTTTCTCATTTCTTTTACATTCTCACTTTGCTTTCATTAGAAATTAAAATTATATATAAATAAAATGTTCATTATTCCTTATGGGTTTAAATTATTGGAAGTATTCAGTAAACAAATGTCTGCACAAAAATCAATATGTGACATCAAACCTCAAAAAGCAAAAACTCTGCAACAATTTCTAATGGTGAAGTACAAGTTATTTGTTAATAGCTTACATTTTTACAAGAAATGCATTTTAAATAACTATTCTCGACTACTACTGAAGTAGCACAATAAATTAATGACTATTGCCCATGTAGATATTATGTTCATTTGAAAAATTGCTATGAAATACTTTAAATAAAATAGCTGATGCTTACCTTCCTCTAACTATGTTTTCTTGAAGAAGTTCTTGAATAATAATACCTATATTAGAAATGTTGACTTTGTTGATAAGACCATTGATTGACTTCTTTAGGGCCTCCCAGCTCATCCTCTGGTACGCTAAGCTAAAAAGAATTGATTTTAAGAAAGGTGAAAACTTAATCAACAATTACAATAACTGGAGATTATAATAAGAACATAAAAAATACTTGGGAGTTTCTCTGCTTTTAACATTATTTTCACAAAATGACCTCAAAGTGCAGTAAAATATATGACTATATGAATACCTAAACCTACATTTGATGTTCTGTACATATGCTCAACTACAGATCACTTCTCTTTAATAATATAATAAAATTATATAAGAATATATAAGGATAATGTTTTGTTCTTATGTCCATGCATATTGGAAATTATAACATTCCTTTATTAGATTCAATACATACTTATTTTACATTATAATACTTCATTTAGTTAAAATTGTCTTTAAAGAAAATATTTTAAAATGACAACTTTAAAAATTTTTAAATTATAATATGAAATACCCAAGTATAAGCCATAAAAAGGAGATTTTTATTACATCCTTTCTTATAAAAGCATAAGGAAAACAAAATTAAATATTTTAAACTGTAAAGAAATGGTGATAAATACAGGAAAAGGAAAAGTCACATGAAATCATGGGGCTGAAAGACTGTTGTATTTTAAAGAACATCTCTGCATTTGGCAGTAGTCCCACATCTGTATTACTTGTTTTTTAACTTAGATCTTAGGCAAATAGCCTAACTGGGTTTGTTTAGGTTGAACTTGATAACACCTAAGGTCTTTTAAAGCTCTATAATTCTATGCTTTTTATATTTATTTCTCTGTGGAATATGATTTCAGCTGCAGAAAGTCTTGTCTTTTTCATCTTCCTTATACTTCTCTGGCAGTCTGGTGAAGCTAAAGGGCTTCTTGAAATAATACATATAAATATATAGGATTACAAAGGATACCAATGATATTTAAATAGTTTTCAAAGCATGAAAAGAAAAAAAAGTTTGATATAGAATTCTATGTGCTTCATTAAATAACAAGAAGTGGTGGTAGGCCTAATAACTTCTTTAATTTCCAAGTAGCATGGCCATTGAGTAATATGTTGATATTTGCAGCAAATACTTTGTTAATACTATGGTCTCCTGCCTATAGTCCCGAGAGAAAGAGATGCGAAATTTTAGTTAGAGGTAGGTAAAAATAAAGATGCAAGTTTTTCTTTCCATTTACATTCATGGATGGCTAGATTCTACCTATGGACCTCTGGAAGGTCTGTAGGTTAAGGGGCCCTGTTCTGGAGTGGTATGCCAAGGGAGAGGTGGTGAGAGCAGTCTACCCTGGTGGGGAAGAGTATTTTATCACTGACATTGTCCTCAGCAGACGGTAAGGACAAAAAGCAGACTGATTTGCAGTTAAATTATATTGTTTTTAAATTCCCTCTAGATCATGTATTCCCTAAATGGCTGCATTTGAGGTGGGTGCAACATTTCCAGTGGGCCCTAACCCCAACCCTTTGGTATGCTACTATTTGAGAAAAAAGATCAATGGCTTAAAAACTAGCCTAATTAATAAGATTGCTCATACATAATCACAATCTCTCCTATTAAACTTCGGTAAAACAAACAAAAACTACAACCAAGCACAATTTCATTTCCTAATTAAGAAGCCTACAATTCCCCTGACTTAGTATATACTAAAAGTAAAGTCTATAGACTTAAGAGACTTCTACTTCTTCTTGTCCCCTTTACAGCCTATGAGCAGATTTAAACTGTATATAAAATTATCTTCCAGAAATCTATGTAAAATTATGTATACTGGGGACTCTTCTCCACCCACTTTATATATAAGGAAGTAAGACTTGGCTTAATAACAATGTTTCTGTCTATAATCAGGATTGCTATGGACTGGATTGGAGACAATGACTCTCTCACTAAAGCTGCCACTCCTGCCTCCTCCAGAGAGCAGGGAGCAGAAGGCCTACGTGCTCATGAAGCTCCTGCTAACCACAGAAGCCATCTCCAAATCCCTTCTAAATGTAACACTGCAGGCATTACTACCATGTACTGGAATATTACACATACAGAGAAACTTACTAATTAATTTTAAATTTAATGTCATCTAATGTCCCTTGCTAGCTCATAAATTTTAAAAATTTTATTTCAAATATTTATACTTTATATAAATGACATTTCTACTTCAAGCTAATTCATGAACCAAATTTAGATTTCATTTATCTAAGGGTCTCAAGTACTTTCAAGTTGCCACTAAAATACCTATGGAAGATGTGGGAATACTCTTTCGTGGCTCACCTGGAAATCTGTTTTTCTTAAAGTGTAGCTACCTTCTATCCCAATCTTTTTATTACCTAACTGGCAACTGAGTGACCATTTCAATCTTGGACCATACTTTTCGTAATTATCCTCTCATTCCGCTACAGAAAAAGGTCCTGAACACTTAGCGATACTTTCATATATAGCTCCTCTCAATTATTTTGAAAAGGAAGTGAAGGTATTTTGAGGGTGAGTGTTCATCAATGAATTTTGATTGTTTGCCTTAGCAAAAAATTACAGTCTAAGATGGTAAGGTCAAAGAAAACTATGGAGTAGGTAAGATTCAACTTCATTTCATAGTCAACTTCATTTCATAGATTAGTATAGGGGGTGGCAAACTACATCCATGACTCAAATGCAGCCTACAGCCCATTTTTGTAAAGAAAGCTTCACTGGAAGAGAGCCACACTCATTTGTTTATATATTACCTATGGCTATATTCACTACTACAGCAGAGCTGAGTAGCCGCAACAGACACAGAACACTGCACAAGCCTAAAATATTTCTTGTCTGGTCTTTTACAGAAAAAGTTTGCCAACTCCTGGTTTGGTACAACTGGAAAGATCGATTTGAGTTCTAAAATATCAATAATTCTCTTATCTATGAAAAATGGACACTACTAATAGGCATGCATACAACTATAAAAGGAATAGTTTGAAAATAGTAAAAATAAAAGATCTTTCTTCAAACCCTTTTGATTTATTCATGTAAAAAAATAAGCTGAGCTAATGTCAGGGCAAATAGTAAGCAGAGCTCCAAGGAAGCTTACGGAGTAAAGAGGAGAAATCTAATTTGAGGTCTCTACCACTGTGGACTAATAATGTAAACTCTCAATAGCCAATGTTAATTAGACCATAGTTGACTTTTTTCCAACGATATTGTATACTCAGTGATATTGACATGCCTGTTTTTATCTGTGATCTGCTCTTGCATCATTCTGAGCTTTGCAGGAGGAATATATGCTCCACCGGTGCGAGTAAGAAGAGGATCCAGCTCATCTTTCTTCTTCTTTGCAGTAGGTTCATCCTGAGCAGAGGAACTCTGGGTTACTGATGGTTCTGGGCTTCTTCTCCCAGGAGATGGGGATTTCCGAGACCTTTTACGATCCATATCTCTTTCTCTTTCTCTGCGTTTTTCTCGGTCCCTACTTCTGTAATATTAAAAATTTTTTTAACGGAGAAAAGGCAATATAAATTACATTCTTAAATGAGCAAAATACAAAATGAGCAAGACCATTTGCAGGCCACAAATTCAGACAAGGGAAACTGGTCTGGAATGATGAGGAAGTGCTTCATAGAGAAAATGTAACTTAAACTAGGTCTTCAAGACTTGACAGAATTTATACTGGGGCAAGGGTGGGAAGGTGGAGGAGGAAGGAGGGCATTTTGCAACTAGTGCAGAATAGAGTAACTACTGAAAAAGGGAGCAGGAGTGTTCAAGCTAATAAGTAGTATTGTCAGGAAACAATAAAGAATCATGTATAATGGTAGTTGGAAAGATGAGTTTGAGTCAGACTATGAAATCTTAAAAGACAAGCAAAAGACTAAGTTTTTTATAATGGAGTTGGTGGAGAATCACTAATAGTTTCTGAGTGTGATAGTGACATGAAAACAGTGTTTAAAGAAGACAATTTAGCTTGCAATGTACACAATATACTGTATAAAGAAGAAATCAGAGTTTATCTCCAATAATGGCAATTTAGGAATAAAAATGTCCTAAAAAACTGTAACATTTGAAATTATTTCTTGATAAAACTGGCATTTAAAACCTCAGAATATCAAAAACATCTGGTTATTTGAGACAATGTGAAAAAAAAAATCAACTATTTTCCAGCTATAACTCTTCCTGACTACTATAGGTGAGTATCTTTTCTTAAGCTAACCTTTTTAAAACAATCAAGGTATTATTCTCTGAAACTATCAAGAACTAATGGGAAGAGTAAATTCCTGCTTTTTTAGAGGAGTTTGTCCACTTAGCTGTTTTTTTACCTATACTACCTTGGAAATTTAGATCATTCTGCTCATGCTTTGTGCAACCATTAGTTAAATGAATACAGTAAATAAAAACAAGTGTCATTTATCATGATTACCAGGAAACTGCTTGATAGATTTTAGCTAGATCTAGGGGGGATGTATTTGAGATGGTCTGTCTTAATATATAGTAATACAACTTACAAAAAGAGGGAGGGTTACCTAGCCAGGTAGATCAGAGGAGCTGTTTTGAAATGGAAGTATACCACTGTATACGCGAAGACAGAACAGAAGGGAAAAAAAGTGGTTCCAAATAGACACCTCAATTAGTCACAAAGGCAGGTGCACTGCAATCTAGGCAGTGATTTGCAACTGAGTTGCTTCTTATTGTGGGTGTAGTATGTTCTAAGAGAGTAGCTACAGCAGGGATTTACTGGCATTGGTTACCATTCTTCTGAGAAACACTAGGTGAGACTTCTAGCTGGCTGATAAAATTGCATCTTTACAATTTCACTGTTTGTTCCTTTAGAGTGTAGAAGTAATAGAGTCTTATTCAAGTCTAAATAGAAATATTTCTCTTCCAATGCTTTCATACTGTTAGCTTTTATTTTCTACATAATACAAAGCCTGCTTACTTCACAGTGTGACTGTATGGATCAAATGAGACTTATGTACACACAATGGACCAAACACAGTTACAATGGAATAATACAGTCAGAGATTATGGAAGAAAACATGGGCTTTGGAGTCAAAATTGAGTTCAAATCCCACTTTCATTGTCTACCAGATGGGCAATTGCAACCTCAGGTAAGTTATATAATCACTTCAAACCCACTTCACTTTTTTTTTGCAAATTGTGAAAAAAATACTATCTAGTTTGTAAGAATTTTAACAGTATTTGAAAAAGAGTGCAGAATGCTTAGCTCACCAATTATGGTGGCAGTAGTTGGTTCTCCCAAGGGGTCATTATGGTGACAGCAGATGAGCCTGGCTTTTGGAAGTTAATTTAATCTGACATTTTAGTTTTGGGTATATATTAGAAAGTAAGTAGTGAGAAGGAAACAGGCTGCAGATATCAAATAATGGGATTAGCTCCAAACTGCACAGGAGTGCCATCAAAATTTTAGTGGGGTACAGTCTTGATAGTCACAGAGTGGGTAATATGAGGGAGATATCAAAAGGATACAGACCTTCGTGAACAATAAAATACAGTAGACAAGTTTTTGAAACTGGACGACTAATAGGGTGGGTAGTCAAATTCTCCAAGGCTCAAGAAAGAATAATTTATATTAGGTAAAAACTAGATTGGTAACTTCATTCTCACTGTCCCAGTGCCATCATGCAGGAAAGTATATTTTGATCACTCTATGTCATATAATACAAACGACTTTCATTCAGTAAGGAATCTCAAAAACTCACACTGCCAAGTCCTCATGCAGTACAGTACCATATAATGAATAAGAGCTTAGGCTCAATGTCAGACTGACCTGGACCTTCCACTGACATGCTTCTAAAACACAAACACATGACTTAAATCCTCTCTGCCTCAGTTTCTTCATCTATAAAACACACAACAGTATCTACTTCATATATTTACAGCAATAAGGAGTTAATTCACATGAAATCCTTATTAGAAAGCCTGGCACCTAAGAACATCCATGTAATGCTAGCTGCTATTATGTTTTTTTTATGAAGCGTAAAGAAAATTTAAACAAATATGATTTTTCTATAGTTAAAATTTCCAATACTAACCGTGACTCCATGCTACTATCATAAGAACGCCCTCTTCTTGAATGCTCATAGTCTGACCTGCTGTAATCAAAGTGATCTCTATCCCGAGGGGATCTTTCTTGTTCTGCATATCTAACACATTAAATAAGAAAACCAAAGTTATAAGATGAAAACTACATGTTATAAATACCTAGGAAAATCATATATTGGTAATGCCAAAGCAACTCTATGACTGAACGATGTCTTACTGAACTTTTTAACAAACAGCTTATTTTGTTGACACCATTCATTTAGTCTTGATTATAAAAGCTTTCAGCTTGTGTACAAAACAACTACTGGAGTTCACGTAACCAAACCTGTCATCATGATTCACATTGTCTTAAGCAAAAGATAGATATCTGGATATCATATATAGTTGGCATGAAAAAAGCCCACGCTGCAAAGGACTCCTTTTGCCTAGTTGGCACATTTTATTAAAGCATTGAAACAAATGAGACCAATGTCATTGGTTGGCCTCCATAAAGAACAGTTTAACTCATTCCAAGAGACATCCAAAAAACATTAGCTATTATTCTTTTTTTTTTTTTAGCTATTATTCTTGAAGCTGCTTTACTGAATAGCCATGAGAAAGGATTGAAATTATTAGCAAACAAGGATGACAGTATAAGATCTGCCATTTGAACTTTAAATATTAATAAAGTCAGAGAACCTTAAGAGAAGTTAAATACATACACACATAATAAATATACATAGTAACATATATAGTGATTCATATTTTATATATAGTTAACCTTTTGAACAGTTGCAGGTTTGAATTGTGTGGGTTTAGCAAATTTTTTCTAATATAGCACAGTATTATAAATGTATTTTTCTCTTCTTTATGAATTCATTAATAACATTTTCTTTTCTCTAGCTTACTTTGATGAAAGGTACTAAGTAGTTGCAAACCATTACAATTAATTCAACGTCCATGAAACAAAAGTTTTTAGAGACAGAGTGAAATAAGAAGAAAGTACATATGGGGTAAGGAACAGATGAGACCACTGAAAGGAAGTTTAGAGGATGTTTCTCCCTAAGTGAAATAACTGAAGTACTACTATGAATGCCTGATGAATATTAACAGCAGTATTTCTAGATCTTTCATCTTAACACAATTATAAGATATGATACATATATATAAAAGTATTCTAAAATCTATAAAGAGTTATGTAAAGGATAGTAGTAACAGTAAAAGCAGCACTTCAAAATAAGGTGATTTCAACTCAGTTTTCCATTTTATAAACTTTCATTTAGTGTTTTATTCAATATTAATTTCATTTTATAAAACTTTTATGTAGTATTTGACATGCTGAAATTATTCGCACCTCCAAAATTAGATAAAATCTAGATTTACTAGAAACTCCTAGAACAGTCATTCAAGAATGATTTGTCCTCAAGCTTATTCAAGTAATATTGTAAAACCATCTCAAAGAAATTGTTCAGGGGCGCCTGGGTGGCTCAGTTGGTTAAGCGACTGCCTTCGGCTCAGGTCATGATCCTGGAGTCCCGGGATCGAGTCCCGCATCGGGCTCCCTGC